GAGCGGCTCCAGTAGGGTTGGGAGCTTCCTGCTCCCACAATTGCATTAGTAAGACGTGTAAATCATCAACAAGAACAGGTCCCTCGAATTTGAAAAGGGCTGGAGGTAGATCATCTGGTCCCGCGGCTTGAGTTAACTTAAGCAGTCCGAGCTCACTTTCGATTTCTGAGCGAGAAGGCGGATCCAAAGGGATAGCCAACGGAGCAGGGTGACCAGTGGCCAACGAGAAATCTGACAATTCCGAACGACTAAATTGCCTTCTAAAATGCTCAGCCCAACGCTCCAAACGTTGTGATAAGCTGTGGAGAGACTGCCCACCCTCATCACGCACAGTCTCAATAACAACAGGTTTCTTGCTGCCCGTTTCCTGTATCGGACGGAATAACCTTCGATGGTTACCAAGAACAGTGGCTATATCCATCTCTGACGCACGATGAGACAAACGAGAATCGAGGTCTCTCTTCAGGCTGGGTTTTTGCTAGTCACGTGTTCGCTTCCAGCCGGAATGTGCCGCAAGCATCGTTACATTCAAAAGACTGCGAAGAGACCCAATGTCCATGTTGGCTATTAGACTTACCACATAAAGGTTTGCCTGCTGCTAGTAAGGTCGGGTGAACATGCGACAAGTGACCATCAATTGTATGCACTTAGCGTTTACACAACCCAGCAGTCAGCGTACTTCGATATGCATTCAGAATAGCTGGCTTCGTTAGTTGACTGGTGTAAATACGCTCATAGGGTCGTTGTGGACGTCCGCTAAAATGCACCCACAGATCAGCACATACAAGTGCATGGTCGGTGTCCGCATATGTGCTCCAAATCGAACGACAGTTCTAGACGCAGCCTCTCCAGCGATAACTGATTGCAATGTGACCGATTTACGTCCAAAGCTGGTGCCATATCACCCTCCGGCGGGTGCTGTGTCGGAAGTCAGTGTCGGCAAGAAACAAGAGGGTATCTTCACACAAATAAAGTAATCCCCGCCGTTATCATTACGAGAGCCTACACGGTGTTGGCTGCCTAGATGCAGTTCATCAGTGGACAATTTTCCAAAATGAATGTTCAGATCCCCAGCCAGCACTATAGTCTTCGTGCTTCTTCTGTAGCGGAGCTTGTGCAGTTGTTGGTAGAAGGGGTCTTTTATCGAATCATCGCCAAAATTTGTGTGGGCGCAGACAGCGATGACGAGTAGACACATATGTGGCCCCCTCGACTTCGAAGTTTTGAACGAGCCAGCCAGTCGGACCGCTTACATCCGGCTATTGATTGGGATCCAATCAACCAGAGCAGCTTCAGCCCGGGTATTCAGGGCAATGCCAAAGACATATATATATATATATATATATATATATATATATATATATATATATATATATATATATATATGGTTGGCGGCATCCGGTTTCGGATTTGCCTGTCACTGTGGCAAGCCACAGGACGCCTGCGCCTACAGAGGGACCATGGATGGCTTGCGCTGCACCACCCACAGCTCCAACCACATACCCCATATCCAGTGTAAACCCGAAGGAATAAGACCGGGAGGCATGCGGATGGGAACCACGTTTCATCAACGGAGCCGGCCCACACTCCTTCACAGGCAAACACAAGCACGCTGTAGTTGGGGAATCAACCGCACACAAGGCGGTGGCTGGACCGTAGTCCGCTCCACACTGAGTGCATGGAACCGCTCTTTGAGCCTAGCACGGCCACAAGAACCGTGCACCCCGTCCCCTCCAGCAACGACCAACTGTCTCCTGGAGCCAGTATGAACGATGTAGTGGGTAATAGACAGGTAGGCACCTTGTCAACATACACATCAAGCGCAACCATACCAGGGATATCAAACAACAGCCATTCACTTTAAACGACAAGCTGAAATAAAATAAATCCAATAATGCATACAGATACGGTGGCATAACTCTTCGCTAAATTACCATATGAAGTAAGTTGGTTAGCAACAAATCCGTGATAAGTAAGAAATGTCCACAAGTTACTTAAAATGCTACAAACGCAACAAAATTACCGAAGATAAGCGCAATTAGTGTAAGCAACGTGGCCAGTTAATAGAACATTATTCAGGGAGGCAGAACAAACCAAATAAAGCGGAATGAAATTTATCCAGCTTAAAAAGACCTAGTTTAAGTGTAAGTTGGTTTAGCCCAACTGCGGTGAAGAAGCATCAAGAATGCAACATCAGCCTCAGCATGGGGCACACATACATACATGGTTGGCGGCATCCGGTTTCGGATTTGCCTGTCACTGTGGCAAGCCACAGGACGCCTGCGCCTACAGAGGGACCATGGATGGCTTGCGCTGCACCACCCACAGCTCCAACCACATACCCCATATCCAGTGTAAACCCGAAGGAATAAGACCGGGAGGCATGCGGATGGGAACCACGTTTCATCAACGGAGCCGGCCCACACTCCTTCACAGGCAAACACAAGCACACTGTATTTGGGGAATCAACCGCACACAAGGCGGTGGCTGGACCGTAGTCCGCTCCACACTGAGTGCATGGAACCACTCTTCGAGCCTAACACGGCCACAAGGACCGCGCACCCCGTCCCCTCCAGCAACGACCAACTGTCTCCTGGAGCCAGTATGGACGAGGTAGTGGGTAATAGACAGGTAGGCACCTTGTCAACATGCACATCAAGCGCAGCCACACCGGGGATATCAAACAACAGCCAATCACTTGAGAGAGAGAGAAAGAAAAAGAGAAAAACTCGATTAATGCATAAGGAAACGGTGACATAAACCTTAATTAAATAGCTACGTAATAAGTTGTTTACAAACAAATCCTAGCTAAGTGCACGAGGTCAGGAAGTATAGTTCACGGAATGCCACGAACACAAAATTTTATGGAAATCGAATACAATTGGCTGAAGCGATGTGTGCAAGTTAATGGAATAGAGTACATGGAGATATTCATATGAGAAAGGAAAGCATTAGGCACAAACTGTAAACCCACCACCTGAAATAGAGAGACTTAGCATGCAAGCACGCGGTTAGTACATCGAATTCAGCGTGCCTACAAACGCTGCGCCGGCTCGTCGTAGTAATCTGCAGGACCCGTCGTCGCTTCTGTAGTGGCCCCAAATGGCACAGCGCATTGCCCACTAGACATTTATCCACTAGACATTTATATATATATATATTTATATACATACATACATAGCGCACGAGTGACCCATGCTGAGGCTGATGTTGCATTCTTGATGCTTCTACACCGCAGTTGGGCTAAACCAACTTACACTTAAACTAAGTCTCTTTTTAAGCTGGCTAAATTTCATTCCACTTTATTTGGTTTGTTCTGCTTACCTGAATAATCCTCTATTAACTGGCCACGTTGCCTAAGCTAATTGCGCTTATCATCGGTAACTTTGTTGCATTTGTAACATTTTTAAGTAACTTGTGGACATTTCTTACTTACCGCGGATTCGTTGCTAAACAATTTACTTCATATGGTAATTTAGGGAAGAGTTCTGCCACCGTATCTGTATGCATTATTGGATTTATTTTATTTCAGCTTGTCGTTTAAAGTGAATGGCTGTTGCTTGATATCCCCGGTGTGGATGCGCTTGATGTGCATGTTGACAAGGTGCCTACCTGTCTACTACCCATTACCTCGTTCATACTGGCTCCAGGAGACAGTTGGTCGTTGCTGAAGGGGACGGGGTGTACGGTCCTTGTGGCCGTGCTAGGCTCGGAGAGTGGTTCCATGCACTCAGTGTGGAGCGGACTACGGTCCAGCCATCGCCTTGTGTGCGCTTGATTCCCCAACTACAACGTGCTTGTGTTTGCCTGTGAAGGAGTGTGGGCCGGCTCCGTTGATGAAACGTGGCTCCCATCCACATGCCTCCTAGTCTTATTCCTTCGGGTTTACACTGGATATGGGGTGTGTGGTTGGAGCTGTGGGTGGTGCAGCGCAAGGCACCCATGGTCCCTCTGTAGACGCAGGCATCCTGTGGCTGGCCACAGTGACAGGCAAATCTGAAACCGGATGCCGCCAACCATATAGCGCACGGATAGTAGTGGAGCGGCTGCAGCGAAACGGAAGCCATTTGGATAGCACGTAGGTGTTTCTGGAGGGAGCTTGATGAGGTTCATTGCAGCTGGATTCAGTTAGTCACCAACACACATGGAAGGGGGCCCCGGAGCCAGTCATCCGTCATGACGATCAGTTGGAGTCATGAGTGGATTAGTTCCTTATGTCACCGACTCGTCACGGGATACTTGTGGGATCGAATCCCAAGAAAAGCGGGAGAAATGTACGATGGTGATATGTACGTATCCGCCAGAACGGGCATCCAGCGCATCGCCGGATGTGTGATGACAATCTGGCTGTATCCGGCTGCGAAGAATCATCTCAAGGGCAGGAGAAAGTTGTCAGCATTAGAAGACAAGAAACGATATAAGCGACTCGGTGCCCGATGAGCACACCGGTTCCCTGGCTATGAACCAATCAGACAAGATATCCATAGAAAGTGCAAATGAGTATCAAAAAGGTACCATAATTATGACAGGCTAATTTGTTGAGAACAAAGCTAAAGGAACTGGTGTATAAAAGAGATACTGGAGGTTACCAGACACATGAGCAAGTGTCGTGAGGTATTCGCTGTTTCGTGAAACCCTAGCACAGTGTGACGGGCAATAAGGCCTAATAGCGTTGGTCCCTTTCAGCATGTTAAAAAAGTATGTGTGCACAACCAGAGGTTGTCAGAATCTCTGAGTTTGACGAGCAAGATCGAGCCAATAAAATTGTTAGGCGCACCAACAGCGATGAGAAGAGGCTGAAAGGCAGTGATGGGGACCGACGGTTTCGGTGAATCCCCAGTTGAAATTCGATATTCAATAATGAAATCTAGTCTGCAATATGAGAAATATCAAATGGTGGTGTAAGCACTGCAGCTTAAAGGTACGAGTGATTAAGTGGCTTGACGAACGGGAAAAAACCGCGAGAACATCTAAGTTGGAGCATTGTCGAGTAAACTAACCTTGGCAAATTTAAAGAACGGAGAGGGGTTTTGGCTGAAGTAGGACATATCGAACATGGCTTGAGGACTGGACAAGTCCGGGTAATCTTGAGCCAAGCGGGCGTAGATTCCATCACGAGAGCGGAAATCCGGGATGCCGCAAGACACGGATACCCCTGCACCAGTGACGACCAGAATGCAACGGCAAGTGGAGAGCAGTTCGATAACCTTTTCCAGTGTGTTCACGTGACTCAGGCGGGGTCGCGGTGTGGGCTCCATCAGTAGTGAGAGTAGCAATCCCCATCGTTCGCTCACATCTTGTGGGATGGCTTTCGGGCTCAGCCCAAACATTCGAATGAGCAACATACGTGGGTCAGTGTAGCCGGCTTGAATGAGTGCGTTGAGCGTTTTGAAGGGACCTAGTCGGATGAAAGACATGGGAAGTAGTGGATGAGGGAATGAGTGAGACGGGTGACCAGGGTGGAGTGGTATCCACTGTGGCAACAAGCACCGGCAAGACGACTTTGAGATAAACTGGAGTCCATGCAGCGTAAGAAAGCACGAACTAAGTGTAACAGCTAATTCGGCATTGGGAAGTCGATGTAGGTGGGAACAAGGACTGCAGAGTGGAGAGCGAAGCAGGAACAATGTATGTAAAGATAAAGAAGTGGTTCATGTTTAAATAAATGAGAAAGTTTTTATATGCCTAACAAGACACGGTTTTACTTACCACCGCACCATCAGTAACAACGGCAGAAGAGCATTAAGTTGGATAGCAAGTTTCCGACTATCGGAATTAAAAGATGTGAGCGAATGCTACAATCGGCGTCAGCAACTCCGTAAAGTAATTTTGCACAAAAGGTATCACATAAATGGACGTGAGCCGCGTAGAATTTCTGCCGGATGAGTGAGGTGCAAAGGGATGAGTTCAACAAAGCACTTTAGCAATTTTTAACAAAAGCTGTCCCCCCCTCCCAACATGCTGAACTATTTCCCAGCCTCTAGTCAAACGAAACCACTAGGCTTCCTTCACAGGCAGTTAGAGAGCCAAGCGCACTTAGAAGAGCGTTACACGGGCGCTTAGTTTGATGTAAATTCCTCAGCAATGCGTACTTACCTCGAATGCAACAGAAGTTAAACCTCTAGCCAGCTTAGGAAACAGCGGTAGTAGGTTGGCATAACGAATCGATAAGCCATGACACGGTGCAGCTCATTCGGTATTACATTGCGCATTACTGAGGTGCAGGAGACAAAGCTGACCCCCAGCACCACGACCTTCCCCCATAAGCCTCTATCTGCCTCATGGAATTGGAAGGTAGTTCTAGAGATTACGAATTACTAGGAAATAGCAGTTGGAGTGTTTTGAAGTAGTTCAATGGAGAATCAGTTTTGTCAAGATGAACTCAGGCGTTGATACGGTGTGACGGTCTGCTTGCCTCTCACGTCCGCGGAGCCAGACTGAGCGGTGGTCTTCAGCGCAACGACAATTGCTCCTACCAGACAGATCAGTGACAAAGAGTCATACACAAACGCGGTTCCCTGGTTCTTCAGGTTAGGAGTTGGAACTGGGATGGCATTTAACTTTATAAATTAAAAAAAATTTGGACCAACTCCGTAAGCTTATTTCTTTGAGGTCTTCTGTTTCCCTGACCATGTCATGGCAGTATGCAAGCGGGTGGCATAAGTGATGAAATCAAAGGTCTCAGACAAAAGTAGAAATAAAAAATATCAGAAGTTCACCAGGGTTTCGGCTAGTCCGGCGGCTACTTACAGGTTAAAACAGACAGTAGTCCAAGTAGAAGCCAGCCAAGAACAACCATGCTGAACGGTCCAGTTAAATCAACACATTGTACTCCTAGCATTAAGACGTAATGGCCCCAAGTGCTTTCACTAAGAAAGCCAGATAGATAAAAAAATACGTCGAACAAAAAAAACAAATAAAAAAACTGATAAAAAGTAGATAAAACGAGAACAGAGATTTGTCGAATTGAAGGACTAACAGTTGCAAACAGGAAAACGATGTTGACGCCTTCACCGAAGCCCGCTAGTCATGGTTTAGAATCGAGAGTTCTCATACACGCATACACAATGTCGTTCAGGTTTAAGATCGATTGTTATGTTACAGTTTATGCCACGTAAGCACTGGCCATGTAAGCGTTTCGACCGAATAAACACAGCGCTCGAAAACAACACAAGTCCAGATAGGTGAGTAGTAAGAATGCAAAAAATGTGGTTTATTCAGTGTAAGAGGTCACTGGGGTAAGGTCGATGACCCATAAGCAAATGAGCGGCAAATTCTGTCTAGTTCAGTGTGATTTCCTGGTTCATCAGGAAGCAAAATACTACCCGGTTGTCTAGGCCGAAGTAGATAAGTTGTCTTAGGGGACCACTGACCCGAGCCTTTGGCCAAATGGCCTAATCCACAACATAGCGGGAAGAGGTACGGGTTTCGCACCCGGGGGGAGTCCGTGAATGACCATACAGTTCATACGTCTTTCGGATGCCAATAAGGCAGCCCAGGGGTACAGAAGTGCGGTGTGTTTGACCCGGTGGGCCGAAGTCTTTTCCATGACTTTACGCCGCATCATTAGTTGACCGCTCTGCGGTGTCACCAAACTAGGTGCGGTAACGGCGCACAATGCATTAGCGGGGTTGGGTGGGGTGTTAGAAGCGATCAAATGTCATACCAAGTGCATACCCTGATCAACCGGAGCGAGTCAGGTTAAACAAAAACCACTGCTGCACAAGCTCCATTTTCCAAACACTGGTTGACGGAATCCGGTGTTGGCCACTTGCAACACGTCTAGCTAGGTAGGAACTCCGGTCACCGAGGTATCAGAGTCATGAATAAGTGGTTAGCTAATACGGTCAAAAATTACTCATATAGATCAACTGGTAATTGGGACAGTTAGGACAGGCGTACACAGGAAGACCCGCGGTCCTACTGTAGTGCTGTGTGTCCTATCCTCAAGTGACAAACTGATATTTCGTCGTCTTCAAAGGCAGCCGAGAAGCTGGCCAGTAGCACGGGTTTTGCTGATTCGTGCACCGGCCCCTTAATTAGCTCACTGTCAAGGGTGATACAAATACCGGAATAAGTGGGCCGATAGATCACTTCGAATGGTTGTTGGAAGACAACAAAAATTCGCCGTGTGCTACTGCAGTCCTGCAACAATGACTTTCAAGGTGAAGATGCGAGGCATATGTGGAAGCACTCTGGTGCCCAGCACCCCTTCACACAGAAACGCCTGCACAGAGGCCGGGTCCAACCCAAAATGAGCAACAGTTTACGTATAATCTAAATTTGTAAGTTCAATGAGATATGGGACGATAAAAGTGCATATGAACAGGTTAAGCACAAAGCTGAAGAGAGAAGGGACATGTTGCGGGAAGCTAAGAAGACGACAGCTTGTTTTAGATCTTGACCCGGCTTCGCGCGTAACGGTACGGAGACTTTGGAATATAGAACGCGCTTCCACCATAAGTGGTACGATCTAGTGAGTCAACACAGTAGCAGCTTTGAAGTCATTGAAAACCTGACCGCGGTGGGAGGTCAGGTCGCTGTTCCAGTTCTTTGTACCAAATGCAACACTGTGAGCGGCGCATCCTTTGTCCGGGGCGGAGGACAGTTTGACTTTCACTGACCCGACCGACCCTCATGAGGACAGCGAGTGTCCACAATATATAATTCCCGTGTGAACAATTTCGGGTCAATACACAGTACAGTTAGTGTCTCGATGACTTAGACACGGACGATGATTCGCAAACCGCTAGGCATAGAGAACACTGCACGCCGATACGTCGGACTGACGCATCACCTTCACGGGGCTATCAGCAGCCACATGCGAGTTAGGAGATATACTGCGACATAGCGAACACATGGGCAGGCTCGAAGAGGTGGCCTGTTTGGGCTATCCGGCCACCAACCTGACAAGATTGAACAGAGCGACCAGAGCAGCCAACACTACTAGGCAATCTACTTGGTTCAGTCATGAAGAATAGACAAGTAGAGAAACAAGGACCCTTGTTTCGGTGCAACAGAGCAAGTGCAGGTTAAATCACTTCTAACGTAGACAGTGTAACACCAACGTCCGCAGCGAGTCCATGTGATAAAGCGAATCATGATATGACATTTAAAAAATCCAGTAGAACACTTCATCACGGTAGCTATGCTAGATACCGGCTACAGGCTAGTTTGGAAACGTAAACCGCTTGCTTAAGTTTATTCTGAATAGCGGAAGTCACCGATGGACTAAAGAGTCTAGAGTGAGGGTGCAGTTTAGCAAATAGCCAACATCAGTATGTGGACAATCATCCATAACAAGGCCCTGGAAGTGCCGGCTCAAATGGTGTGTGTGACACCAAAAGTGGGGCCAGGTGGAATTGTGATCAGACAGACACCAGATTTTCTGAATGCGCATAGAAGCATGCTGGTATCAGGGTTGAGTAAGCGCTCATTGAACACGGTTGAAGGTCCCTGGTCGCAAGTTCACCAGACAAATCCTCGTGTGGTAAATCTAATAGTCAACAAGGACAATGGATTTATTCACAATCTCTCGAGCTTGTGGATGCTCGTCGGCATATTCCGGCTGGAAGCGAGTATAACGAAACTCGCCAAGACCTCAGGGAAAAACTGCGTGCTAGCTAGAAGAGAGACCGCGAATCCTGGTGGTCTCTTCGTGCGTTCGAGATGAAAGTGGTTGCTTCCCTTATTAATCACCAGAATTTATTTCATCTGATAAGAAAAACGGGCAGTAGGAGACCTGGTGGTAGTGAGACTATATGTGACGATTGTGGACAGCCTATCCACAACTTGTCAAAAGACTTGGAGCGTTGGGCTGAACACTTTGAAAGGTAAGTTCATCGGCCAGGATTGTGAGATTTCTCATCGGACAGTGACCGTTCTGCCCCATGGGCTGTCCCTTTGGATCCGCTCTCCCCCTCAGAAGTCCAACGTGAGATCGGACTGCTACAATTGAACAAGGCTGCGGGACCAGATGTTCTTCACCCTGCCAAGCGTTGCTCACGGATATTAGTTGTATAGTTACTAAGGTGTCAGCCGTTAATCACTAGGTCCCGAGTTCGATCCCAGCTCAGGCAGTCTCCATCTGACGCGTACGAACGAGGACGCCACTGGTCATGAGATGTCAGTGTTGGGAGGAGCAACACCGAAACACCTTCATCCAGCCCACTTCAGATTCAGGGGGCCTGCTGTTGTTGATGATTTACACGGGTTACTAATGAAACTGTGTGAGCACGAAACTGTTCTAACCGACTGCACCCTCTCCTTCATTGTCCTAATCTTGAAAGAAGGCTCGCGCACGGAACGTGGCAACCAGAGAGGAATCAGTACAACCTCCATCGCCTCAAAATTGCTTGTCTCTGTCATCCTTCACCGACTGACTGGAACTAGTGAAAG